ATATGTTTATAGATTTATCGTATTGATCACTATTTAGGCAAAGAAATGGTCAAAAATCTTTTGATTGTTAGATTTGCTAATGTTTTTTTTGGTGCAATTTGGAACCGGCATTGCATTTCTAATGTTCAAATTACTTTTAAAGAAAAAATTGGCACAGAAGGTCGTGGTGGTTATTTCGATGAATCTGGTATCATTCGTGATGTTATGCAAAATCGTAAGTTTCATTTTTCATAATAATAATAATAATAATAATAATGATAATGATAATGATAATGATAAATGATAATAATAATAATAATAATAATAATAATAATAATAATGATAATAATAATAATAATAATAATAATAATATTTTAAAAAAAATTTTTCTTGTTAATAGATATTTTACAAATTTTAAGTATTGTTGCCATGGAACGTCCCGTATCATTAAGTTCTGAAGATGTTCGTGATGAAAAGGTATGATATGGAGAAATTTTATATTTATTAATTCTTATTTAATAATATATTTAATCATTCGTATATATTTATAATATAAATATATAAATAGGTTCGTGTTTTACGTTGTATTCCACCCCTCAAATTAGATGACGTTATCTTAGGACAATATACAAAATCAGAAGATGGTACCAAACCAGGATATTTGGATGACAACACAGTACCAGCTGACAGTAATTGCCCAACATCTGCCATTGCTGTATTGTATATCAATAATGAACGTTGGGAAGGTGTACCATTTATTCTTAAATGTGGAAAAGGTAGATTAAATCTTATTGACAGTGTTATATTTTTTTATAATGAGAAAATTGACATTCTTTTTTCAATTTTATATAGCATTGAATGAACAAAAAACTGAAATACGTATTCAATTCCAGGACGTTCCCGGAAATGTATTCAAAAATGCATCACGTAATGAGTTAGTCATTCGAGTGCAACCAAATGAGGCTGTTTACATGAAGATGACCACTAAATTACCAGGTCTGTCAATGGATACTGTCATTTCAGAATTAGATCTTACTTATCATAAACGATTTTCGGAATTGAAGATTCCTGATGCTTATGAAGCATTGATTCTTGATATATTAAATGGAGATCATTCAAATTTTGTAAGAGATGATGAACTGGAAGCTGCTTGGAAGATATTCACACCAATCCTTCATCAAATTGAACGTGAAAAAATCAAACCATTACCATATGCATATGGATCTCGTGGTCCAGCAGCTAGCGAGGGGTTTGTTGCCAAGTATGGATACAAACGGAGCTCTCAAGAATATAATTGGCCAGAACGTCAGTAATCGATTGATTTATTTCAATTGTTTTTTTTATTTTTTCGAATGTAAAATATTTAAAAAATCATTTTTGTATTGAAATCTTTTATATTTCTTTATGTATGTATATACATTTATCAATAAAGATCAAATAAAAAATAAAAAGTTACTCAACAAACTCTAATACAATATACACAAACACACATATATACACATTTGTATAAATAATGCTCGAAGGATGGTAACAACAATAATCAATTATTTATTTATTTTTTATTTGACTATCATTATTTATTATTGTTATTAATTATTAATTAAACTAACTGACCTAACTTTTATTTTTAGAATTTCTACTAAATATATATGTATTTCTATTATTTTTTTTAATTGTTTAGGAAGAAATTTGTATTTAATGTTAAAACAAAAAAATAAAAGGCGTTTTTCATTATTTTCAATCTTGTATACACTTCAAATTAGGGTAAACCTTAATGGAAGAGGTCATAACAATCTTTGAAATGACATTTTTGACTTAATAAAATTTATTAAAAAATCAATCAATGTTTAATGTTTATATGTTCAAATTGATATTTTCCAAATTAAAAAATATATTACTAAATTAATAAATTAATTCCTTACTTACATTTCTTTAATATATATATCTTTCTTTTTTTTTTTTTTTTTACCAATAACAAGAAAATTTATATCAGATATCAAAAAATTAATCAACAGCTTTGGTTTTTCTTCTACGATGTTTGGTTCTATATGTAAGTTGATTGACAAGTAAATCCGACATTAATAAAAACCGATATGCTTCAATAACCTGCAAATAAACAAGATTTAACACATGAAAATTCGTAAATATGCAACTTCAAAAAAATAATTTCCATATAATGTTACCAAGTCTTTCATTCCTTCAGCTGCCATTATAACAGGATTTCCCTCAACCTTTTCAAGAATATAACGTTTATGCATTAATGGAAATCTTATACATTTAAGCAATGAAGGTAATGCAGCAAGTCTATCACCTTTCCAATGGTTTGGAAATTTATCATTATTATCAATATAATCGATATCATCGTCGTCATCATCACCACCACCATCATCATCATTTATCGAATTGTTATCATCATGTTGGTCATTTACGTTTTGAACTGATGATGATGGTGATGCTGATGATGAAGAAGATGTTGGTGATGATGTTATGTTGGAATTGACTTTAGAATTTATGCCTTCAGTACTTTCTGGTAATTCTGATGGCATAAATAATGTGGTAGGTTGATTTTTAATTGATTGACTATTACTAGATTCAACTCGTAAATTTGTTGAATTATCTTCACCACTACTAATGCCACCATTATTATTGTTATTGTCATTATCAGATAATGATAAGGATGTCAAAGTTGTTTTTGTCATCTTTGCTGATTTGTTTGATGGCGAATATGTTGCCCATTTAACTACTAATTCATATATCTTCTCTTCAGAACTAACATTAGCTTCATCATTTTCAAGTGCAAGACGTAATATATTGGGGTCAGCATGTAAAGTAGATCCTTTTTCTAGGAGTGCGTCAAAATGTAAGGCAACATAGTCTTTACATGTAGTTGAGGTTTTTGCACACAAATATTTCTCTTTTTTTTTGTGTGTGTATTGTAAATTATTAAGAATAAAGTGTGAAAATCAGGTAAGGGAAATTTTTTTTTGACGGATTGATTATTGAAAATCATTATGTATTCATGTAATTTACCAGCGATAGCCCAAATTCCCCAAACATTATCAAAATTCAACTCCAATCGAAAATATCTTAGACATTCTTCTCTAACAGGCACGATAGCAAATCTATCAGCCAAAGCAAGTAAATGTTCAGCTTCACATGATGAGTTAATCTTAAATTTTGATTTGTAAATTATATTTAATAAAGTAAGAAAGGCTGAATGATTTATTTGATGAAGTTCAATCTCATTTTCAAATGTTTCTTTCATTCCATTAGTCAACATTGCATTAAATACTGGTGATGAGCTGGCAAGAATTATTTTATGAGCATAAAAAAGTTTTTCTCGCGAGAATTCGTCATGTACATGAAAAGTTATATCAGAAAATTCTGGTGAATTGACAAGTTGATCAAATGAATTTGAAATCAGTGGTGGTGAATCAACAATTGAATCTTGAATTTCAAATTTAACACACAATGAAATTGTATCATTGCTAATAAATCTATAATTTGTATTATACTTCAATATATTGATAATATAGAACAAAATAATAATAATTAATGTAAATTCTTGTATTTATTAAGTACCTATCCATTTCATCCAATGACATAAGATTTTCTTCACCCCATGTAGAATGTTCTAAAATTAAAAGTTATATTTTTTTAATACCTTTATGGGTTATGATACAAATATTAACAATGATAATTAATATTATTATTTACTTACTATCACAAAACCAAACAGGAAGTTCCACTAAATTATTATTTTTTTAAAAAAATAAATACCACACATAGCCAAGAGGTTTTTAAAGTTAAAAATTGAATAATCATCTATGTCATTATTAATTTAAAATTTTTTTTCGTACTTTTTCCAAAATCCATTCCTCTGGTTCTTAAATTTTCTAATACAAAAATAATACTGACTTTCTTACGAACACCACGGAGACATCCAGGTGAAGTTTCTAAAATACCCAAATATAATGATAATGCCTTTTCATAATTATATACCAATGATCATCAATATTCTATTTTACATTCAGATTTTTCATTAAAAAAATCAAAAAAATTTTTTTTTACAATACTTACCAATGGATTCTTTTGACGGCCTTTGTAAAACTAAAAAAAAAAATTCAATTAATGAATGAATAAATGGATTGATATGATGAATTGATCTATTATTTTAATTATTTAATATTACCTTAAATACCCTATTTTCAATTATATTTTTTGTGATAAACGCAAGTATGTTAGCTCAATATATATTCAATATAGTTTCTAATAGCATTATAAACGTTATAAAAAATATATTTTAATGCTACAAACCATTGTAAACCGTCAGCACTAAAAGGAGGGCTAGTATGTTCCATAAAAGGTCTAACATCACTCCAATTTGTTATTTTCCATCTATAAACGTAAGTTAAAATTCCACCGGAATAATTATTATTTTGTACAGCATTTTTATATTTGGTACAAGGCACTGGGGACATTTTTTTTTTCTCGCAATTATTTTTAATAGAGACAATTTAAATATAAAATTCAGTGCTACGGTGCAGATCATCTATAATCATTAATTGCTTATAGTAACAATTGGTCAACTTCAAAATACTAAAACAAAAA